ATCTTTCTTCTATCATTGACAGTCCCTCTAGGTTGTGGGCTGCTTGCCTGTGTTCCTGAGAAGCATCTACGGTACCAGTCTATAGAGTGTGTTTTCTTTAGTGAATTACCGGTATGTTTACCGGTAATAAACTTGCACTGTTTTATGTATATGTTTGATTACATACAGCCTTGTGACAGTTTTCCTGCATGTCATAAGCATTTGAATATAAATTAAAATGTTAAAATCAAATCTGATATTGTTTTACCTTTTATTTGGTGTGTGGAAGGTGTGCGGAAGAGGGGGTAGTCTTATACGGCGAGTATATAACAAACTCTGTATTTTGAGTGGAAATGTTAGGGGGTCGTCTTATACGCCCAGTCGTCTTATACGCCGGCAAATACGGTAGTTATCATCCTATCCCCAGCCCGCAACAGCCTAGCTCAGAGTCAGACGTCTCTGCTCACCTCACTTCTGTTTTCACTGCAGCACTATCATCCCATCGAACCAATTGAAATGAGGCCCAAGAGTCTGGCTCCTCCCGCTCTCCCACCTACTCCACAAAATGAGAGAACAAAAATTCAAACCAGGAGCACCAGGGGTGCTCTTGAGTCAAGAGGAACTAGAGAAAGCTATGCAAACCTAAATTCCACTTTCTTCACATCCTTTGGCCATTGCTCAAGAACCTGCGGTGGCTCCCCATTGCCTGCTCCATCTTAAGCTCCAAGTTCCTCCTCCATCGTCTGCACCAGCCCCACAGGAAGGCACCCTCTACCCTGCAGACTGTCTAGTGCGCCGGGTAACACTTTCTTGAGAACCAGCTGTTTGCACAAGGGTGGCGCCAACAGATGGTGGTGGTGGCTAAAGCATCCTCAAGGCTCCACGTAAATGTATAGAAATGAAAATAGTGGCTGCGCAGTGATTGAGCGTCATCCCCAATCAGGGCTCCATCCCCAGGAGGGGCGTGCAGGAGACAGTAATCAATGATTCTTTCTCATCACTGATGTTTCTCTCTCCCTCTCTCTGAAATCAATAAAAACACATTAGAAAAAAATAAAAAGAAATGCAAGTAGTGAGTTTCCTGTCAATATAATTTCAAGCCATGTCCCCCAACCACCCCCTACCCCCATTCAGTCCCACCTTTGAAACTCACACAAGTTTGCAGTTGTCACTTCTTCAGCCTCCCTCTTTGCTCGCCACGCCTGCCTGCAGTGGTCTTTCCCCGCTCCTCCTCCTAAACCCGCCTCATGGCAGCTACCGCACTTCTGGGCCATGACTGTCCAGCCCAGCAAAGGAGGCCACGATATGGCTGTCATTTCTGAATCCTGCTGCACTTCCTGTTTACACACAGAATCCAGGGGTATTCAGTCCTCTACTTTCATTTCCGTCACCTGTTTACTTAATTCAGCCGTAAACGATTACAGGTCTGGAGGCTTTGGAGTTAGATAAATCATGGTTCAAACTGTAGTTCCTTGGGGTGATAAAAAGGTTCTGGACCTGAACAGTGGCCACGAGTGCATGATATTGGGAATGAGCTTCATGCCGCTGAATTGTACGCTTAAAATGGTTAAAAGGTAAGTTTTATGTTGTGTCTATTTCAGCACCATATCGCTCAGGCTGTGTAACTTCAGGTCATACAAGTCTTAGTGCTTCGGCTTCCTCGTTGTTCTGTTGCAAAGATCAAGCCAAACATCAGTGATGGAAACGGCCCTGCACTGAAGCCTCCGCGTTGGCAGGCCCAGATGTCCACATGAGTGGCTGCTCCCTCATCCTGACCCGCCGGTGCCCTCCCCTCAGAACGGGCACTCGCCCAAGGCATTGGCAGGGATTCCCTCATGGAGCTCACAGCCTGTCTGAGGCCAACGGAGCGCACTTTCCAGGGTGGGAGTGAGGGGAGTGAGCCGGCGGGCAGGCCGGCCAGGGCCCTTCCTCTGAAGTCCAGTGTCCTCTCCCCATTCAGTCTCCTCAAAGCCCAGCCACTGGGTGCAGGTCCAGGAGGCAGGAGCAAGTCCGGGCTCACCTCCTCTCCTCTTTCCTCCTACTTCCCTCCCCTCCTCCGAGATCAGCTGTGGCAACCATAGTGGGGATCACAGGCCCCACCGGTGATTGGGGGGTGGGACGGGGGTCGTGGGGCAAGGTCCCTTCTCCTGGGCTGCTCTGAGCTTTGTGTGGAATGAAAAACAAATGCAGACGAGGCAGTGGGGGAGGAGAGGGGCCAGGTGGCCCGGGATTGGGGGGGTTGGGG